CTCGCAAGGACCATCTTTGCAAGTGTTACTCCGACACTTGTTTTGTTCTCTTGGGGCAACCTTTTGCCCCTTAAGACCACTTATCCATGTGATGAGAATACCAATTCATCCTCTGAGTACACCCCCAACTCCTTGGGTTGTTCTAGCATTTATTAAAGGTAGCCCCAGCTACCATTTCGAGGACTTGTGTCCTCTTCCGTATTTGACCTCCCATGGTCTTCAATTCCGGTCTCAAAGTTATGAGCACTAGCCTCAACTATATGAGGGTAATCTTATGACTCCTTTATTGTTTTGGAGTCTGCATCTTTCCCGTGATCCTAACTATAGTTGTTTACCCCAACTACATTAGCCTGTTTGCTGCGTCAAACGCTTATCTGTATCACATCCTCAACTCTTTGAGGAAACCCTTATACTGTTCCCAAGATCCCAAAGTCGTTCCATCATTGGCCCTTTTCTATCCACCACCTTGCCTACAAGTTCACACATGAACTGTAATGGAGAGCCATGTCTTCCCGACTTGCTACTCCTCAAGCATAAGCCCACTCCTAGGACCTTCCGATGCTAATATTAGTGGTGATATACTTCAGCACCAATAAAAGTCGGACTAAGGAACAGCTCTGATACCAAATTGTGAGCAACTAAATTTTTCCATTCTACTTTAGTCACTTAACCACACCTCCGACCACTTGGAGGAGTCTAAATCACAACCTCTATAAGTCCTATTTCGGGCTTGGGCTTGCTAGCCCCGAGAACAGCATCCCCGCCACTCAACCTTTGCACTAGGTCCAAGTGCTCCACTTGTCCGGTCCCATGACCGACACCCCAAGGTACCATCGACATATTAGTTTGTTACGCTAAGGCCATGCCCCTCCACCTTAGTCACACTGGGTGTCTAACACCACCTACATCACAGTCCCATCTCTCAAGGACATGGCCATCCATCCATGAGTGATCATTCTAGATCCACTCTTTAGCATCCTTAGGAGGCCCACAAACATGGGGATTAGCCTTCCCCAATATCCTTTTTCCAGTCCCCACCAAGCCCCTTTCTGCCCATAGCCATGTTTGCCAACATTGTCACTAGATCGAGGCCCACAGACCCGACCACTAAGTCCCACGGTCCTCTGGGACTTCCTCACCACCTGACTGTATCCTTGGGCACTACACCAGAGGATTACTCCTCTTCCTTTCCACAGTCTGGGCCTTTGGGACAACATTTCGGAATACCGTAGCCCTATGCGGGCCTCATGGGTACTCTCCCCGCCTTCCGCCTTTGGGTGCTCTAGCCATGGGCCTAGAGCAAGGTTCCGTTGAGCCACGCCAGGTATCCAAGTAGGTAGTGCCACCCACACTTGGACTGGGAGCATCGACCAATCGATCTCGTGGGGGAACTAGAGTCGGCTCTTGAACACTACACCAAGCTACCCCACTTGTCGGTCCATATTCACTCTAGTCTTGGACTTCCCAGTGGTCAGTTCATCACCCAACACTGGGTATGGCCTTCTTGGGCCAAACTAGCCTTTCCTATGCCAAACTGGCCTTTCCTAGCCAAACTGGCTCCATTGGGCTCTAACCCCCACACTCTCCCTACTATACTTTTGGAACCCCCTGCAGCCCCCACCCCCGCCCCCGCCCCCTGGGGACGATCACTTTGGGCTTTCACCCAACTGCCTATATTAGTATTCGGACTCGAACTCGGGTCCATCTCGGACTCCATCCCAGACTCCGTCTCGAGTCCATCTCAGACTCCATTTCAGACTCCATCTCGGGTCCATCTTGGACTCCATCTTAGTCCATCTCAAACTCCATCTCGAACTCCATTTCAGACTCCGTCTTGGGTCTATCTCGGATCCATCTTGGACATTTCCACGTGTCATGTGTTGGTCCTTTTTGGGTCCTTTTCTGGAGCCTTGCTTATTGGTTGTCTCGTGCTCGCTCCTCGAGCATTTTGTTGGGAGTTCCACTCCCGCTCTCGACCTTCGAAGTTGGAGCTTTTAGTCTAAATGTGTTACACTCGTTTGGCTTTCGCTTCGGCCACTACCATGTGGCACCCTTTCCGGCTCCACTTTGGGGCCTAGGGATTTTGTGTCTCACAGAAATCTTATTTGCTGTGGAAGGTATTAATCAATTTGGTACGATCAGGTGTTCCAGGCAAATAAACAACTGGTAAACAAATTGAGTATAATTGGCAATGACCCTTCTCAAAAAAGTGATTACTTTGAACTTTATAAATGTTTTTCATGGATAATTAAAAAAATTATTTTTCTAATGAGAATATATTATATTATTATTTTATATAATACCATTTTATAATCAATTGAAAAAAGGATAAATTTTTTAAATAGAAAATTTGTAATTTTTATAGAAATTATTCTTGCCTACCTAATGTCAGTATCAATATAAACTCTAGCAAGATATCCATTGGGATTAAAGCAAGTTGAAGGGGTGTCACTTAAGGATGTAGTATCCAAAGCTGGGTTAGTTGATATAGCGACTTGATATTCCAAGAGTGTTTATTATTGATTGTAAGAACATAACAATCCTATAATTGAAACCAACATAATAGAAGGTATCAAAATGGAGAATAAAAAATAATATGAATGACAAGAGATTTTTCTAGTTGTTGATGAATGGTTTATAATAATAATAGAAGCATTCATTAATCATTACTCCAACCTATAGAAACTTTCTAAATGTAAGTAAAGTTGTTAAATTTTTGTAGTGTATATGGTTTTCACATTTTATCCTATAGTGATTTACTATAAGATAACCATAAAGCAGAACCCAAGTTTAGGGTTATTGAAAAAAAAAATGAAGCCAAACCATTAAACATACAACTAATGAATAAAAGAATTGAAATGACTCCTAAGTGTTCAACCCAAAGAATGAAAGATAAAAATATAGAGTGACATCAGAATAGTTCTAAAGTATCCAACATCCTAATGCCAAAACAAAATAAAGTTAAACAAAATTTAGTGTTATTTTGATATATTGGTGGCTTATTGTGATGATATATATATAGGATAGACATATAAGCAAGAGCCAAACTACGCTTCAAGTTGGTCGGCTAACCTATTATCTCTACTATATATTTAGAACCCGTACATATTTTAGGCTTCTAAGTCAATCATGAAAACTTATTAAATATGAAATAATGTTAAATTGCAAATATAGACATGAGAACAACTTTACTATGTTTAATCTCTATATTCCACCTAACTAGCAAATCTAGATTTTTCCCATAAATAGCCAATAAGACCTAACTAAATTAACATATAGAGGAATGATAGTGAGAGTGCTTGACAATTATCACTTAGTGAGTATTGAGAGATCACACTTAATATCGCAAAAATTCCTACCACTAGCAAGTGTAAGTGAATATATGAGTTTCTCTAACTAAATTAAATATGCTTGACTAATAGCATTTAAGAATTTTGTTTTTATGCTCTTTTAACCAAGTGCACGTGAAGATTAATTTCAAACTAGTTTGGGCAAAAACTAATAAAGGGTTAAACTAATCTCTAGTCATAGTGATAGTAAAAGAAGAATATCTAAAAGGATTTATATATAATTAACTTTCAATACCCACAATTACATTTATGACATTTTTAGTTTTTTAACTTATATTGTGTCCCTTGTTGTAAAAAATGCATATAAAAAATGCATAGATTTGAAGATTCACCATAACAATCTCATAAACAAGATACTTCAGAAACTTAAGCACAGCTGTTTTCTCTATGATGTCCTTTTCAATGATTTGTCTTTCAGCATAGCAGACTCCAAGGGCTGCCAAAGTGGCAAAGATGGAGACCAAGGCAAAGATGGGCAAAGAGATCGCACAGAAAAATGCTACAAAAATAGTTAAGATGGCAAACCGATTTGTGAATCTAGATTTATATCGTTTCTTCTGTTTGACAGTTCATGGTGAAAAAGGGACGTGTTTTGACACCCCGCCAGATTACTGCTGACCATAACATCTTCATTAACGGAATTTCACACAGCAGACGAGGTATCATCTAGATGGAACATTCTTCCAATGCTATAGGTGTGGACAACGGGAACAATGGGAGAGCTCACACTGGTATTTTCTAGCTTTCCATATCATTTTCATCTGTGAATTTGCAAATTTCCTGATGATCCAGGTAATAGAGATTGATGGCCGACAAATTAGAAGGTCATGTCGCATCTTTCTTTTTTCAAGGCCACCTTCTTGGTGAGTTTTGCCATCACATAATTTCTTGAAAAGGCTTAAACTGTGGGTTCCGTGAATTGCCTTTTCTTGTTCCATATAAATAGACCCTTTAGGTTTGACGAAAAGGATTATCAGCGATGGAGAGCGTGGACAAGAAGGCCAAAGCTCCGATGGAGAGCGCCAAAGGTAACAGCGACGCGATCAAGAAGGGAAAGAACACGAAGAGGCAGCGAGAGGAGGAGGGACAAGCGGCCAGGGCCCCAAAGAGAAAGCGCCTCCAGGAAGTAGTGGCGAAGAAAAATCAGGTAGCATGTAACATTGATGGGTTAGATATCACTTGGCATCAAGATTTCCATGACTTCTGGCCGCGACCGACATCCAAGCTATTGACACCGGACTACCTCCACTGCGCTGGAGCTCAAGAGCTTTACAGGCTCCTCACCCAGGAGCTCTACTGCATCCAGGAGAGAAGAGATCACGATGATCATGACAAGAGGAATGCCCAGCTCTTAGTGGTGATTGGCGGGACGAGATGCCACATGATGAGGCGACTTGAGGACCTGTGTAACTCTAGAAGATGCACGGGAGATAAGGTCTGGTATGGGGTTCAAATCAAAGAAGGCGGAAACTTTTGCACGCTATTCAAGTACAAGTTTGATGGGATGAGAGCGAGAATGATCCGGGAGATGTCCAAGGAAATCCATGCCCAAAACTGCGTGAAGAAGACAAACAACACAATCCAAGAGATCCTGTCCCATATCACGGGGAATGGTTACTTCTCTCCAATCCGTGTGGAGAGCGTCCACCATTGATCTAAAACAGTGTATTTAATGACTCTATCAAAATGGAGAACAAAAAATAGTGTGTTATTTCTCGTCTCTCTCTCTCTCGATCGATCGACATTGTCAAAGCATGTTTCGCTTCTTAAATTCCTGGTGCATCGCTTCACCAATCTTGGCTGGTGATTCTACAACCGTGACTCCCGCAGCTTTCAGTGTTTTGATTTTGTCCTGGGCCGTGCCTTTGCCTCCCGAGATTATAGCTGCAAGGAACACACCATTTATCTTTTATGCTTGAGATTTCAAGCTTACCTCCAGCGTGACCCATTCGACGCCCAGGCGGGGCTGTCAATCCTGCAATGAAGGACACTACAGGCTTTTCCGTCCCACTCTCCTGCAAGAGTTTCCTCCTCAAGTTATGTCCAAGGCGTTATACAAATTAAGAGATCGAGTTTCACCTTGATAAATTGCGCAGCATCCTCTTCCGCGGTTCCACCGATCTCTCCAATCAAAATAATGCCTGGCAAAGCGGAAAGGACTTGAACCGACACTCGCAGCGTAAATAAGAGAGCGTAATACCTTCCGTTTGTGAGTCCTGGACAAAACGCTCCAAACAGTCCACGAAATTCGTTCCGTTGAATGGATCGCCTCCGATCCCAACGCAGGTCGACTGGCCCAGACCAACAGCAGTCGTTTGAAAAACCTGCAAAAGAAGAAAAGAGAAAAGCAAAGGATGTCACATAAGCTAACTCTGATAAAACGAGAAAATGTTTCAGTACCGCTTCGTAAGTCAGTGTACCGGACCGAGAAACAATGCCAATGCGACCCGGCTTGTGGATGTATCCCGGCATGATTCCGATCTTACACTCTCCAGGCTTGATGATCCCAGGGCAGTTTGGTCCGATCAAGCGCGTCTTGCTCTGGGATTTCATGGCAGACTTCACCTTAACCTGTCAAAACAAAGTATACTCAGAAATTAGAAAAGATAAACTTTCAAAGTCATATGTAGAGCACTCCAAGCTGTAGAGAAGAAACTTAGAAGTCCCAGAGAACAAAACTTAGAGCTTTAAGTCAATCATAGCACACAAACCAAGCTCTAGAAGCAAAACTACTAGTCAGTCACGACTCCAGGAAACAAAAGATTCCAAGTAGAACAGCACAACTCTAAAGAAGAAGAAGGAAAAAAAAACTCTCGTACCATGTCGTGCTGTGGGATGCCTTCCGTGATGCAAACCACCAGATCGAGCTCGGCTTCCACGGCCTCCATGATCGCGGCAGCTGCGAACTTGGGCGGAACGTAGATGACGGTCGCATTGGCCTTGGTCTCGGCCTTGGCCTCGTGCACCGAGTTAAACACCGGGAGCCCTAGGTGCTCTGTGCCTCCCTTTTTGGGAGTGACGCCCCCGACCTGGACCACCAAAGCACACACGAATCCATCGATCCCAATTCCAATCCCAGATCTTCCCTCTTTGACCTAGAAATCCCGAAAAGGCTTACCATTTTGGTGCCGTACTCGATCGCCTGCTCGGTGTGGAAGGTCCCATTCTTGCCCGTGATGCCCTGGCAGAGGACGCGCGTGTTCTTGTCCACGAACACGGCGGGCGTGGACGCCGAGCTCCCGAAACCCCGGCGCTGCGATCCAGCGCTGTTGCTGCGCTCCACGAATGCCGCGATCCTCCTCGCCGCCGATCTCATCGCCCCGCCCTCCCTGTGGCTCCTCCTCTCAAAGCATATTTCCTAGAGAATATTCCAAATCCCTAATTTATCGCCAAGAACCCTAAAAGCGTCGTCTTCTACTTCGGGTCCTGGAGAGTCTTGCGAGTCCTTCAATCCTACACGCGCTAGTGCCCAAACTGCGTCGTCCTTGTAGGATGAGTGGCCAATCAATCGATCCGACACGCCACAGAGGACAATGTTGGTGTGATACACGATTTAATCGGAACAAGGCAACAAACAGTCCCTGCTAAGATTCTTTCCCCTGGCCCATTTGTGATCGAGCGACACACTGCCAAAACCCTCACTCGCTGGATCGTTCTCCATTTGGTCTCTAGCGATTAGCGTGTTACCGTGTGTGTGGCTTCCAATGGCGCTAACAAGTGTTTTTGTCCACGAGGGCATCCACGTCACAGAACGTGTCCACGCGGCAACGCAGGCGGCGGTACACGTGGCAGTCGCATTTATAATTCTTCTTTCCCCTTTCTCACAAACCATTCTCGTAGAGGGCTCTTTCTCCTCCTCCTTCCTCGAGCAAGCAATCAGCAACTTGGCTATGGCCACTGGCGCTTGCTCGATCTCATCCAGTCGCATAGGATAAAGGGTCTCTCGGGTTTGGGTCTCCTCGTCTTCTTCGCTACTCGCTCGATTCCTTCCGTGTCTTGTTGCGTGAGAGCACGCATTCCCAGCTCCCACTTTATGCCAGGATCCAATCCCCAAGCTCTCGGGCTGATGATCACACCAGCGGCCAGTCTCCCAGGACTCTGCTCGTCGCTGCACTCTCCACTCCCTCGAGCAGTGACCCTCTTGCTCGCGGCGGCGGCGGCGGCGGCGGCCAAGAATGGAGCAGCTTATGCCCCGTAAGTTACCCAAGTCGTCCATGTCGCCGTCTTCCTCACGCTCGCAATCCACCTCGCGCTGTCCGAGCAAGAGGAAGAAGAGCCCACCACACAAGGATGGCTCCTCGCATACTCCCAGATCTTCCAAGCTGCCACCTCCACGGCCACACCATCCTGTGCATCCGCCTTACGGCTCCTCCTACTCGTGGGACTCCGCCCAAGGCCAAGCTTTCATGGACAAGGTCGCCACTCGGACCCAGTCCGCTGCGTCGATCCATGACGCATCCCAGCAGCAGCAGCAGCAGCGGCAGGACGGCACCAAGGATACTCCATATCTCGCACTCGTTCAGCTCTTCAATCAGTTCCAGGTACCTTTCTTCTTCTGGTTCTTCTTCCATTCTTTCTTCCGGTTCTTCGTCGCTCAAAGCTTCTCCTTCTTCTCCTTCCAGGGGATGCCGATTGATACCAAGAAGACCCTTGTAACTGTGACTGTTCTCGGCAGCACGGGCCCTCTGAGGATGGTTGTCACCAGCGACGCCACCGTCAAGGAGGTGATGAAGATGGCGCTTCTCAAGTACGCACACGAAGGCCGTGTTCCAGCTCTCGGTCGTAGCACGCGGGAGTTCGAGCTGTATGATTCTCAGTTCAGTTCCCAAGGTTCGTCCCATCTCTTCTGCTCGTGGAAGTGTCAGTCTCACCAAACGTTTCCTGCCGCTTGGTTTTGTCAGCACTCAAGCCAGACGATCGGATCGCCAACATGGGAACCCGGAACTTCGTCCTGTGCCCTGTTACCCTCAAGAACAGCTGCGGCGAAGAGTCCAAGACTTCTTCCACCTCCAAATCCTGGTGGAGTTACGTCACTGGCATCAAGTCGTTGGTTTAGCTCAACCGCAACGCAAGGCAAAGCCAGAAGAAGATATTTGCCGTGAATGGTTGGTCTATAGCGTAAGCCATCTCCGCCCATTGTGTTCCATCTAATCCACACGAAACCATTTCTTGTGTATATAAGTCTCCAACGTCGTGCGTGGTGATAAATCCCATCTGATCATCTGATCGTGCCGAGCCTTTTTTTAAATTCTCGTGTCTTCGCATGATCCCAGACCGAAAACGGTCCCACGCCTGCTTTCCAGAAGCTGCCAGGAATCAAATTCTTGCATGTACCTGTGACCACCACTGCGGTCAAACTTGTCGGTCGATCATCTTCCCACTGCACCGTCCACCAATCCATCTCTATCTCTGTCCCTGTCTCTTATGTCCTTGTCTTCTCCACTGCCCCTACCACCCGTCTACAAGCTGAAGGAGAAATCCTCGTTTTCGTAACGGACGGAACAGTGATTGCCCGAGTCGCCGCTGTCCTGCCACTTCACCACCCTTGACGAGCTCGAGCTCGTCCTTGTCCTGGAAACTCGCAGGCTGTCGCTGCTGAAATCGCTGGACGAGAGTGCCGACTCGACGCCGTCGGCTCCACGCGGCAGGAGGGCGACGCCGTTCCACAGCATGACAAACATCTGGATCGGCTCCAGTGACTGCTTGTGCAAGGAGAGGATCTCGCTGATCAGTAGCGTGTCGAAACAGCGAATGGCGCCGGAGGACTGCACCATCCAGGGGGCGACTTTTCTTCCAGTAATCCGGGAAATCACTAGTAGCTTTCCGGCTGCACGCCCGGAATCATGCAGTTGCTTTAGTCCAGCACGGTCGGCTGCAGTTCCAAATTCGACCGATGATACGTAGAGAAAGCCCTGGAAGTTCTAGACGTATAAACAAAGAGCAGTAAAAACAAATAAATCCAGCATACCTCCTCGGTGTGACTGATGCCGACACCTAGTCTTTCGCTTTCATGTGGAACAAGATTCAATGCCAACTCTGATGCAGCAGGAGCGAACCACAGACGAACTCCTCTCAGCACCCCTATATCGCTTCCAGCCTCATCGTGAACAGTATAGCTTCCCGAGTTTGCAACACTCGATGCCTCTTCTTGACCAGCCACGCCAAATCCTCTGGCACTCGAGCCCTGCAAACAGAATTTTGTTAAGAAAATTTAACTTGCTACTAAAGGCAGTTACCTGTCTGAGAATTGGTTCTGTTTGGATGTTCACAAAAATGATAGGTACTCCTACCTTTTGTGAAGCCGACAGCCACGCCATTGCTCTTGCTGAAGTGTCGTCGACATCGTTGTAACCTGCTCCCAGTTGAGCTTGCTTAAACGGCATAACGAGCAGTGAGAAAACAATCGACGAATTTGGAGGAGGAAGAAAATGCTGCATCTTTTGTTGCCACGCGTACGAAATAACGCAGCCTCTCATCTGTGTGTTGGAAGTTCTGGACTTGCCTCTGCCTTCTAAAACCTTCTGCGTCTGGTCTAAAAATCGAAAAAAAAAAAACAAAAACAAAAACTGGTGAGTTGAAAATTCGACGCAACTGCTAAAAACGCAAGGCCTTACCCTGAATAAGAGCGCATTCCTCTTCAGTAGCATCCATAAAGGTGGCCGTGTAGCTCTTATCTTCATAATCTGCCAGTGCATAATGCTTTCGAAGCACAGACTCCTCAGCAACCACAGACGCAGTGATTTCTAGCCTCCTCCCTTGCCGAGAAATTCTCACATAGATCCTTTCTTTTGCAGAAGCAAGTTTCCGGAGCTCTCGACCAAAGCCAGTCTTCCCTCCCGAAAAAGGAGATTTTACAGCAGCAACCACCTGGCTTCCGGTTCTGAGCTGCTCGATCACGTCTCCCGGAAGAAACTTATCCTCGCTCCAGGCCTCTGATCCCGCAGAAACGCTTTTCACAGCCAGCACAGTCTTCTGGCCGACGCCCATTTTACCCAACCTGTCGGAGATCAGAATCATGGACCCGGGAAGAGCATGGACCCGAAAACTGTCTCCAAACTACTCCGATCCAGCTATGTCCGATGTCAAATACTATCTGCAAGTTACAAATCAAAATGCTATCTGCCATACAGCGTTTTGCACTAGAAATTTTTCACCTTGCCCAGAACGCCCAACTCCTGATGGAAGTAGCCGGCAGCAGCACTACTTTAGGGCTGTCCTCCTTTCCCAGGTTAAAGAAACTCACTTTAACAGCTGGGCAGTGCGTCCTTTCGAAAATTCTCCTATTGTTCTGCAATCACAATCGCAGAGGTAAGTCAGCTACGAGACACCGAAGGAAAAGAAAAGAGGAGCCTCACGTTTAGTCTTATGTTGTTGACATGGACAGTAGAACCGTGTCCCCCTATCGTTGACTTAGAGCAGTATTTCGGTCTGAGCCCGGGCTCCGAGTAGCTCGCCGTCTGGATCGTAGTCTCTCTCAATCACCAGATTCGTTTTCTCTTCCAATCTCCAGCCAGCACCGATTCTCAGGACGCCTGCTGTGGTCAAATGGACGTATGTGTAGATGTCGCCTGGCAGCCACAGCACGGCCGGTTCTTGCTCGCTGCTGGCCGCTGGTATCCTCCTGCGCCTCTTGAACTCTGTGCAAGTGAATACTCCGCTATCCTGCTGTTGAGCGACTGAAGAATTTATCTCAAACACCTTCCAAGTTCCGACCAAGTCTTTTGATTGGAGGCGTGAGCGCTGTGATAGCAACTTGAGCTCGGGGTTGCTCGATGACCTTTTCAAGTTAACCAGCCATCAGTGCCAGGAATGTACTGCGAACTTGATTTACCTGAAGCTTTGCTCATTTACAGGTCCTAGCCATTCTTCCTCGTACGCAGCGACGCGCAAGACTTCCACTTCGTCTGTTTCGTCATTCACTGAGATCGTGTGACATATCCGCACCCGCTTATGCCCAGCTCGAACTAGACACTTGAAAACACCGGCTTTCAAAACATGGAACCAAGAGAAAATGCCTACTCACCTGCTCTATTTTGTGCGTTGGTGAGTAAAAGTAGCCTCTTGCAATGGTTGTGTCATCTTTCGCTCTGAGCAGGCGTGTTGGTCCTCGAGAAAAAGCTCCGTCCTGATGTAAAAAGAAAAAAAAAAGAGCAGAGGGAGTAAAAAAGAAACTGTTACTTGACACAAACAACAGGCCGGCTTTACCTCAAAGAACACAAGACCCGGCTCCATGCCGATTGTTTCCTTCTCCATCACATCCTTCATGCCTTCGTATGAATGCTTGGCCTTGAGTTCACATAAAGTAAACGGTTCGACACTTCCTTCCTGAGACGTACTACCTTCAGTTTCAGAAGAGCTTCCTTCAGGATCTTCGGCCCCTGCAACATCGTCCGAATCTAGTTCTTCTTCGTCATCTTCATCAAAGTCATCCTCATCGTCATCAAAGTCATCATCAAGTTCCTGTTCGTTATCATCAAATTCTCCATCACCGTCCGTCAACTCTTCTTCACCACTAGTCCCATCGGCCTCTCTCTCCACATCGTCTTCGTCCGAGGCTCCATCTTCTACAGAACCTTCTTCGCCACCACTATCAGTCTCCAAATCTAATCCTGCCTCCTCTATCGCCAAATCTTGCTCAATCAATTCGTCTTGTGATTGGACCCTCTCCTGTGTTTTGCTAGCGTAAGGATTCTGCAAATTCCACAGCACTTCCCTGTCGATGCTTCTCTTCTCGGGAACAGACTCCACGAAACTGACGATCCGGCAGTCGTAGAGATACTCGTTTCTACCACCCAGACCCACTGGCTCCACCGCTGCTGTGTCTGGAGAAAAAACTGCTCCGACTCCTCTCCAAACACCATGGCTGTTGCTAGCAAACGTATTCCAAGCCGGTGTTGGGACTATTTCCTGCCAAGAAAACGAGAGTCACAAGAATTCTAAGGAGGTTGGGATGGAGAAACTTACTTCTTCTTGAAGAACTTCCTCTCGATCGATTATAAACATTCCCGACACATCCTTGGACACAGGTTTCTTCTTCTTCCATTCTGTCTTCTGTTTAGGACGAGGAGAGCTTCCATTCCTCTTCTTAGCCTCGTTCTGGAGCGCTTGGTTCCAGGCATTGTCGCTTTTCCTAGCAAAATTCCTGTGCTTGGGAGCCGCGGCGCAGATCCTCCGCGCCGGCATTCTTACCGAAAATGCAGCTGCATTTCGATGCCGCGGACTCGGCCAGCGATCGAAATCCACGCCGCCGCAGCGGAGGAGCGGCAATCCAACCAGCGCTGCCATGCATAAACCCTAAAAAAGAAAATAGGGTTTATAATGCCAATGGAGCATGAGCACCAATTTTCCGGTATGCGGCATTCCTCTTCTCCTCCCCAGCTAGGGTTCTTCTAGATGCGGCTATGATGAATCCAACAGCGCTTTCGATAGCATGCGCGCCTCCAGGATGCCGGCCGATCGCCAGATCTCTCCGCAGGCTCTCGAGCAGTTTCGATCCGCTGACAATCCTCTGCAATCACAGATTCCAGCGGCGGATTATCAGAGCGAGCAATTCGGAGCCGCGGGCCGTGAATCCGTCGCCGCCGCCGCAGCGCAAATCCAAGAGCAGCCTCAAGGCGCTGCTGGATTTTCCCCGGTCGATGTGGAACCAAATCTCGCATCCTCTGAGTAACTTTGGATTTGGAAAGAAGAGCCTGTGGGAGGCCGGGCTCGGCTTGTTTCTTCTGGGTGGAATCGTGCTGCTCGGGCTCACGCTGGCTTGGGTCAAAGGCACACAGCTGAGAGCTCGCTCTCGCAAATACTTTGCCACATTCGAGTTTGCCAAGGCTTGGGGGATCACTGTCGGGACTCCCGTGCGAATTCGCGGTGTCGACGTCGGGACTGTGATTCGTGTCAAGCCAACTTTGGAGAAGCTCGACGTGGAAGTCCAGGTATTTTTCTTCCTCGGTTTTTTTCCCTTGGTGTTTTCTTTTGTTCTTATCTTTTCTCTTTAGATTGTCGATGCAAACCTGGTGATCCCCCGCAACGCGCTCGTGGAAGTGAACCAGTCGGGCTTGGTGAGCGAGACGCTGATTGATATCACGCCGCAGCATCCCATTCCCAGTCCGACAGTCGGTCCCCTTCATCCAGACTGCAAAGGCGAAGGCCTCATTGTTTGCGACCGGGAAAGCATTCGAGGCGAGCAAGGTGTCAGTCTGGATGAACTCGTCGGGATATGCACTAAACTCGCGAAGCAGATAGACGCACAAGGAGTAAAGAGGCTTTACGACGTTGGCGAGCGCATGAGTCTGGCGGTAGAAGAAGCCAAGCCTCTTCTCGCCAAGGTAGGCATTTGTTTCCCAGTTTTCCTAGTCCCAAGTGTGGATTTTTGTCTAACAAAGTGATGCTGGCCCAGGTTCAATCAATGGCTGGCGACATGGAACCTCTGATCAAGGAAATCAGAGATGGCGGGCTTCTTAAAGAATTCGAGAAGCTGACAAAAGTTGCAGCGGAGGCCGGGGAAGATTTAAGGTGCCAAAGTGGTTTTTTCTCTTTCTCCTGTCTGCCACACTAAAGCTTATCCAGTTTTTTCTTGTAGAAAGCTCAACAGCTCAGTTTTGACGCCAGAGAACACGGAGCTGCTTCGCCAGTCGGTCTCCACATTAACAAAAACTTTGAAGCACATCGAGGTAAAGAAAAAGCTCTGTATTTCGATAGAACAGTACAGGGATCTCATCTCTGTCGCCTTTGGAATCTTGTCCAGAGCATTAGCGAGGACATCAGTGGGTTGACAGGAGACGCTGGAACACGCTACAACCTCAAGCAGCTCATTCAATCGCTGAGCCGGCTCGTGGCAGACTAGAAAACCCAAGTAAGAAGAATCTACGGTTTTTTTTTTTCAACAGCAAAGATGAAAACAATTCTTGGTTCTTTGCTTGCGAGAGGCTTTAACAAAATTCCAGAGCTAAAAACCTCTACTGCGCTCTCGGCGCCACAGGTTCCAGAGCTTCGATCATGGCGACGCTGTTTCCCCTGATCACCTGGGAGAGTAAAAAGAAAAAGGTGTGACGAAAGCTCGAGCAAAGAGTTTTGCTACCACTTACCACCATGCCAATCTCCGTTCTCTCGTTGCCACTGATCTCCATGGTGTTGTCCAGGACGAGATTCATGAACTGATCGAATCCTCGCAGCACGCCCACCACAACTCGGTTTGCGTTGAGCTTGACTGTCAGAAACAAAGGAAACGAAAAGAACCATAACGAAAGACTCGGAAGAAGAGAATACTCACTCATAAGCTTCAAATCCATGTACCTAGCGTCGGCGAAAGAAGGAAATCAGTCAAGCAGTGGCCCGAGGAAAACTTCTACACTTACTTCTTGAGATCCGGCGGCTGCCCAGACTTGCTCATGGTGCTTTGGCGCTCGCTTCCCTCGCCAGGAACCCTAAAAAATGATCTTGGCTACGTGGCAGTATCCCAGCCGTTAGAGTACCCAAAAACGGCCCTAGGGCTTAGGGTTTTTAGCTTGCATTCACTTTCGATGGGAATCTCTCTGATCAATGCACTTTTGTAGAAAGAGCTCTCGTTTTTGGTGATCAAAATGGCTCCAAAGGGCCTTTGACTATCTTACAATTCTTCGTGAATTTTCTCTGACCAAGCTTGGTTGCTCATCCATCATTTCATTGACCGGGAACCTTCTCTCGCGCCATTGTTTAGGAGTGTCCCATGGGAGAAGTCCAAGCGATGCCTGTTTTTATAAGCCTGGGGCGCCTCACTCCACAAGCTCTCCCCCACAGCCGGGATACGAATCTAAATCCCCTCGCTCGAGCCATGCAAGCTTGATCTTGCAAATCTCCACAAAACCTAGAAAAATGAAGAGTCGGTTAGGGTTCTTACGTGCCACCGTTGTACACGCCAGCGTTTGCAGGGGCGGTGGCATGCAAGGCTCGTGCTTGTGTTTGCATGTTGTGTCCTCTAACCCAGAAAACCCAACGTAGCCCCGTTCTAGCTCCCGCCAACTTTTTCTTCTTGTGGTCCTGGAGAAGGATCATAGGGCAGAGAGCCTATAGAAATCTCGACCTTTTACCGTGAAATCTACCATTGTTAATCACGAAGCTTGAGGGGCGAAGGGTCCGTCCAAAAGATTTGTACTTCCTTCTGGGATTTTAGTATATAGGCTATGCGCACTGGTCTCTCTATTGACAAGAAAGAAACGTATGTATGATCAGTCCACCACGGGTCACTCATCTCGCTGTGTCGGCTTTTTCTCCGTGCTAACAAGCAAGCCCCAATTCCCTACACACTGATTGAGTGGGGAGAGAAAGAGTGAATGAAGGGACGTGGTGGCTATGGCGACCTAATTGGATCCGTCGTTTAGTCCCAGTCGTATGTTAGGACTCTTCTTGCTTCTTCTCCCTCGCATTCGTCTTTATCTCCTCCACTGAAAGAAAAAAAAACAGAGAGTGAAATGTTCGTGTTCTTCCGGAATTCCCGATCCAATCGTCTCGGCATCACACACAACAACACCACTTTGGTTGGTGGATCGACATTTTCTTTCCCCCGCTCTTTCTTTCCTGCGAGCCCCAAACTTTGCTTTCGTCACAGGAAACATGCCGGTATTTGTATTGTCGTGATAGAAAGTTAGAGCAAAGTCGATCGTGATCAATCACTCTCCCCACCTTTTCCCCCTGCTCTTTAAGATCCCACTTCCTTTCACCATACAAAACATTTTGCTTTACAGCCCCCTGTGTGTGAGTGGTCCTTGTTGCGCATTTCATGATCGACCATTCAAAGCTTGTGGTGGTCTAGAGAAGATTTGTAAAATCTCTTTACAGCCTTTAAAAATCTCTCGCTCACAGAGATTTCCTCACAGTCCAGCGCCAACAAAGAGGCCAGAGAGCTCAGTGGTAGAATAGCAGTAGAGCAAGAACATCCCCAGCCCCAGCCCCAGCTCAAGGGCCAGGCAGCCAACAAAAGCTCTGTGGCCTCTTTGGACACTGGGAAGGCTGGTGGTGTGTGCATGGTTTTAATTGCAAGTTTGTCCTTCTTCTTGGAAGAAAGAAAACAAAGGAGAAAAAAAGAAGAAAAGAAGAAGCAAAGATCTCCCCAGCCAGCAGTAGTGGAGGAGTGATTTGAGTGAGTGTCGTGAATGGTGGTAGTGCTTTCTTCTCCAGGAATCCAATTCAATTCAAAGTCAGACAGGAGACTTTAGTCCACCGCATCAGTGAGCAGTGTCTCAAAAGGGTGCAGTAGCAGAGCTCCCCAGTTCTTTGCCCCCCACAAGGAGAAAAGGAAAGAGGGGGAAAAAAAATCCCAAGAGACAAGAGGCATTTAACGCACACTGTCCCTTCTTCTTTCTTCGTTTGTTCTTCTTTCCTGTGAGTCGGATCGCATCTTTCTATAAAAATGGGGAGAGCAGCAGCGCAAGCAGCAGCAGCAGACGTGCCTTCCATTCCAAGCAGCGCCAGCAGCGGTCTCGCTAGCGGCAGAAGATTCATCAGCAAGATCAAGCTCACGCGGCTGCCATACCATCGCCTGGACGAGATCCACGAGGAGGAGGAGATCGGGGGCGACGATCCGGTAGATTTGTTCCAGAGCTACATCGAAGAGGAGGAGGAGGAGGAGGAGGAGGAGGAGGAGCAGGAAGAAGAACAAAAAGGAGAGCAAGTTTCAAGAGCTCAAGAACAGCAGCAGCACCAGCGGTCGAAAACGAGGAGGATGTTCACTCGATCGTCCAGCAGCAATTCATGGCGTGTGCCTCTCCGGGTGGGATCGGCGGGCTACCACGCGCGAAGGAGGAGCCGGTGGCGGCGGATGAGGCTCCGGATTTGCAGCCGCGTGCGATGGAGCTGGCTCTCGCCGCTCGAGTTCCTCAAGAAGCTGCGAAGGGCTTACATCCAGGCCATGATCGGCCTGTCCACCAAGGAGAGCCAGTGTGGGATCGTCTTGCTGAGCAGTCCCTGGAGCTTCCCAGTCGTCGTCCCATTCCGTAGTGGAATGTGTTGATCGATCCACCCATCGATCGCAAAGCTTGTTCCTTCTCGGTGTCTTCTCTTTTCTCTCTCGTGCTTGTGGGTCTTTCCAAAAGGGTGCTGGCAATTCATTTAGATAGGATTTGATTAATTTGCAAGAGCTCCGCGCTCGCTGTAAATACCCAGAGAAAGCAATAGCCAGATCGAGTGATCCATCGCTCCATCGATTGACAAAGCTGTCGTTTGACTCTGGATGGGTGGAAACGACGAGCAAGCGATCCTGGAGGAGGATCGGTGCCACCCAAAAAGATATACGGGCTGCGTGACAGTGCTCAGCGGTGGCAGATCATCAGGATTCAGGACAGTGGTGGCAGTGGAGCAATTTGCAGGAGAGAGAAGAAAATGCGCCGATCTCCTAGGTAGGACTCCGAGGGAGCACGGTAAGATAGAAAAAGCGTATGGATCGAAGAAGCACACTGTTCTTCCTGTGAGGAGAAGCGTGAAAGAGAGAGTGCTGCCTGTGACTGTGTCAATTCCCAGTCAGAGAGATCCTTGGAGGAAACAGGGGTATAGCGCCATGCCATACCGTAGCTAGAGAGTAGATCGTACCGTCTCGAAATGCGATTTGCCCACGTGGAAGCATCGCAGCGGGCATCATCCGTCGCCATAGAACGGGAGGCGCGCTAGCGCCGCTGCGACGATACCCATGGAAGCCGCCGCCAGCAGCATTAGCTCCAAAATCATGCGCCAGTTCGCCATTCCCGCTCCTGGCGATCGATAGAAGAACCCTAGAGATTGGATCCAGAGGCAAACGATCACTCTTTCTTGCTTCCAATCGTTCTTGACATTTGAAATTCACGCGCGGGCTCGAATCCTGCCAAGCGCAACGAATGTATTACTCCATAAACCTGGAAAAACTTAACAAAAGTATCATTGAACCCAAAAGATTCTTTTTTATTCCACTGTCAGGAAATCTGGGCCGTTAATCGGGTGGCATTTTCCGGGTCGAAATAGTCAAACCTGCGCGTTTTCTTTTCAACCCCAAACCCTACAAGCGAGTTGTTGGGATGGATCGTCGTTTTGATGCGCTCTAGCTCGGTGTCGCGCGCGTGATCTTTCCGAATCGCGGCGAGGATCGTTTCGCGCGGATCTGGTATGATATTTTGATGCTTGGCCGGGGCTTTCACCGTGATTCTCCTCACAGATCGCAATGAATCGTCTCACCACGAATGTGGAAGAGCAGCTCATAGTCAAGGCTATCCAAGAGGAAGTGACATGGGAAAATCTTCCCAAGCGTCTCAAGCTCTTCATGGCTTCCAAGGATGACTGGCACAGAAAGTAAGCGATCGATTCTATTTTCCAGTTCTAGGCTTTAAGCTTGGGCTCGCAGGATCAAAGAGTACTGCATCAAGAAGCGATTGAAGTGGAGCGAATGCCACGCTCGGAATGCCTGTAGAGAAGGCGAGTACTACGACGATCTAATGCGCTACCTACGTAAGAACCTTGCGGTGTGCATTCCAACCTTCACGTTATCATTTGAGAGACTCTTTTCTCACACAATGTTGCTTTCTCTGGACAGCTTTTCCCGTATCACCTCTCCGAGAACATATGCCGACTCATGCGAGTTTCTCCATTTCGATACTACTGCGATATGCTTTACGAGGTGATGAGAAACGGTAAGGATTTTCTTCTTTCGTAGTGGCAGTGGTTTTACCTTTTTTTTTTTGCGATCATCAGAGAAACCATACGATAGTATTCCCAATTTTAGTGCGGCTGATGCTCTGAGATTGACCGGGATAGGAAGAAACGAGTTTATAGATACCATGAATAAGTCTAGAGGAAAGGTATTTTAGTGATTACGTTCCTCACTTTCTTCGAAAGGTATTTCACGTTGCTACTTTTGCAGAAGTTTATGTGGAAGATGAACAAGTCTATTGTGAAAGATATGCTGCCGACCGTGCCGGTGGATATTGCTATAGAACCATGGTGGACTGTTTGCGTGGTTAATCTTTCTCTGGAGGAGTATCGGGTATAGTTTCTTTATTAGCTGTTTTCTTAGAGAGCTTACTGTTGTTTTTAGAAATTGTCTCCAGAGGAGCTGTACGTGATCGACAAGGTTTGTAAGGAGGACATAAAACTGTACTGCGAGTTTGATCCGAAGGTCGTGCGGAGTTTGTATCGCAGGGGACTCGTCTACTTCGACATTCTGGTGCTTCCAGATGACCGTTTTCAAGGTTATTGTTTTCTTCATTTGCAGCCTCTTGTCCTAAGAATGATTTTTCTTCAGTATCGAACTTGGAAGGATTTGTCTCCAATCGAGAACAGTCATACGAGGATCCTATTGAGGAGTAAGTTATAAGGATTCTTGTGGTTTTGAGTCTAGTTTTGTGTTGTACAGAATTTTGTATGCCGTTTTCGTTGCCTCAAGTGAACACGCAACTATTTCCGAACTGGCAGCCACATTACAGGTCGATCTGGATCAGCTAGAAGGTGCCGTTTCGGTTGCCTGTCGCCTTGGATGGGCGACTAAAATGCTCGATCCAGCAGCACTATTGAATGACTCCAATCAACCCGGATCACCTGGAAGCGAGGGCGAAGGTCTTTCTTTCTTTACAAGTCCAGGAGGTCAGAGTCCGTCACACGACGGAGGTGGAGGAGACCAACCCCGTTCCAAGTCCGGAATTCGAGTTGCATTTTTAATAGACGCAAACATGACATCGTACCTCATGATGGGATCTTTTTCACCAGGTATTCTCCTTGCTAGTGTATCTCCGATTTACTCGGCTTCTGAACGTGTGCAGGGCTGAAAAATCATGCGGTGACTCTATATGAGGCTGGTAAGCTCGGTGACAGCAATATTGCTGAATTCTGCAGCGACTTGAAATCTTTAGAAAGTACAAAGCTTGAGGGGGAGCTTCAGCATTTCGTCGACCATGCTTTAAGCCTTCGTTACGCATTGGAATGTCTAAGGTCCGGAGGAACAGCTACAGACACTGACGACGAGCTAGAGGAGGCAGGTCCTGGGGTTGTCAATGGAGAGCTAGAGAACGCTTCAGACTTTGAGTCAGAGTTTTCCTTCATCAACGGGCAAGGGACGACCGCCAACAGGCTTAGCTTGTCAAGTGACACGGGGCTGGCAGGAATTGTCCGGGGGAAAGGGAAGAGATACTACAGAGTGGATGTTCTTCGATGTGAAAGCCTGGCAAGTCTGGCCTCAGCCACGCTTCAACGTCTCTTCCAGCGAGACTACAGCTTCGTCGTTTCTATGATCCCGCTGGCTTGTCCACCTCTAGTTGCCTCGTATAACGCGGCGGGTCCAGTGCACTTCGGTCCTCCATCTCGAGCTGCCGTGACGCCGTGGATGAAGCTGCTTCTGTACACTGTCTTCGAGTGTGGCCCCGTGTCTGTCGTTCTTCTAAGAGGCCTACGACTGCGATTGCTTCCACCACCTTTGGCAGGCTGCAGCAAGGCTTTAGTGTGGACGTGGGACGGGTCTACTTTTGCTGGGATAGGTGGCCGCCTGGAGGGGACCATGATTCCGGGAGCAGTTCTCTTGCATGGCTTGAATTCGGTGCTGAGGCATTCAGCAGTCCTCGTGCAGCCTTTTCAAGAAGGGCCGGACTCGTCTCCTGTCACGGTGGACGTTCCACTTCCGCTAAGCGAAGACAGGTTTAAGAGTCACCTTAGCGGCAGCGACGACGAGACACTCCAGTCGTATGCGGAGTCTGCAGACGAGCTCAGCTTGAAGACTGTTGGATACATTCGTTTCCTGCGGGTGGGAAGCCTCGAAGACAGTGTGCGCTGGGTCCCTCAGGCTGTGGAGTTCGGAGTGCCTCTTTCCGACACCGAGCTGTGCAAGGCTGTCTGCGAGGGTGCCGTTTCTTGCGAGCTGTTCCACTTGTTTTCGCTTCCGAAGCACCAGGATGCAATGCAGCAGCTGAAGAAGATGCTTCATGACTTTATTGGAGAGTACCAGGCAAATGGACCAGTGGCGAAGCTTGCTTATACGGCAGAAAAGACTGAGACGGGCAGGAGGCCAGAGCTTACTGTCAACTTTAGCAGCCGGTGGAACCCGTTTGCGGAGCCTGATAGCCCGTCGCCCAGGAAGAACCCACGCAGCAGGAGGAGGCACTCCAGCATGATGAGCTTCGACGGAGATATCTTGAGGTAGTGTAAAACTATAGCCCGTTTGTTTCAGGCACGACTAAATTCTGTCATGCAGAGCTTTCTCGCTTGCTCCAATCGATCACTCACCAAACGAGCCGTCCTCTGCAAGCAAGTCAGACCCTCTCGACGATCTGGACGTAGGAGACGTCCCTCTTCCGGGCGTAAACTTGGTGTTCGACGGCACCAGTCTCCTGCCTCTGGACATCGCCCCGTGCTTGCAAGGCAGCCTTGCTCCGAGTCTCGTCGCTCGGGCGAGCGCTCCAACACCGTCGCACAGATAAGTCTAGTTCTCCGTTTCTCTGGTCAATTTTTTTCTTCCGGGGGTCAACACCGGGTCAGCGATCGTATATATATATATATATCTTCGACTTATGGGGTCCAGACAGCAGCAGCAGCTATGGGGGAGGTTGTCAATCCCGCTGTGAAGCTCGGCATCCTGGGATGCGCAAGCATTGCCAGAAAGGTTTCCAGAGCAATTCTACTAGCAGGGGCCGGGGTTGAGCTCTACGCGATTGCCAGCCGGTCCCTGGAAAAGGCACAGGAGTTCGCCAAAGCCAACGGATTCCCCTCTTCGGCTAAAGTCTATGGCAGCTACGATGAACTCCTGGACGACGACGCCGTGGACGCCGTCTACGTTCCTCTGCCGACGGGGCTCCATTTGGAATGGGTGCTCAAAGCGGCTGCCAAGGGGAAGCACATTCTGCTGGAGAAGCCACTGTCGCTCAACAACGAGGATCTGGACAAGATGGTGGACGCCTGCGAGAGCAAGGGGCTGCAGCTCATGGACGGGACTATGTGGATGCATCACCCGCGGACCGAGCGCATGCACAAGGATTTGCAGGCTCTCGGGGACATCAAAGAGGTACTTTTCTCCTTCCGAAAGTTCTCTCTGTTTCGCTTCTTGTTTCCATGCCAGGTGTTCTTGAGCTACAGTGCTTTAGATCTTTTGAGCTTGCTGTAGCGTTCATTTGGCTCCTTCTGTTTGTCTTTTTTCACCATCTTTGATTCATCGTGATCCAAACTCATTTTTTTCTTTACTTTTTTAACTCCACAGGTCCGGTCGACTTTCAGCTTCCCGGCTCAAATCCTCTTCCCGGGCTTCCTCAAGAACAACATCCGAGTGAAAGCCGGGCTGGACGAGCTGGGGGCGCTGGGCGATATCGGCTGGTACTGCATCCGCGCCATCTTGTGGGCGCTCGACTACCGCCTCCCGGATCTCGTGACGGCCTTGCCCAACGCCACCATCAACGGGAGCGGCGTGATCACCGCCTGTTCCGCGAGGATGGTGTGGATAAAAAAGAATCGCCAGGACGAACAGGACGAACAGGAAGAGGACGAGACAACAGTGGCGACATTTAGCTGCTCCTTCCACGCCTTCATGACGATGCACGTCACGGTGCAGGGCACGACGGGCGCGCTCGCGTGCGACGACTTCGTCATACCCTTCAGCGACGCGCGGGCTGCGTACCGGGTGCTGTCCAATGCCGGGTTCGCGGACATGGACCTGACGTGGCGGCTGGAGTCGCGGGACGTGGTGGTGGACAACGAGGTGCCGCAGGAGGCGGCCATGGTGCGCGAGTTCGCGAGGATCGTGTCCGGGATCAAGCGCGGTGGCGGCGCGGTGGAGCGCGGGTGGCACGACAAGGCCAAGAAGACGCAGGCGGTGCTGTGCGCGGTGAGAGACTCCATCGCTGCGGGATACAAGACGATTTCACTGTCCTAGGACAATGCGTCGGTACTACCCCTTCAAAAATAACAGTTACCGTGCTTTAGACGTGCTATTAAAAAAATAAAACCATCACCTTCGTATTATTAAACAAAAAGTTGGACCGTACTATCACAACAAAAATTTACAGTGTCTCGAAGTATAAGTCATATTCCAACCCACGTTTATGCCCTAATCCTTGCTAGTCGAGGTTAGGGCAGGTTTAGTCCGAGTTTAACACAACCCACTCTAATTTAAACTTTGGATTCCAAACGATGCCTTTGGCGGCAAAATAGAGGAGAGCGTCTCGGCCACCATGGCCATGGACGGCCTCAGCACGGCCTCTTGCAGGGCGCAACACTTCCAGATCTCGCGCAGCCGTTGATCTTCCGCGGGCGCGCCATCGCCGCCGTCGAGCAGCGCCGCAACAATGGCGCCAAACGCGCGCACGTCATCGCTGGGGTTTGGGGGCGGCCGGCGCATGAGGGAGGCCAGGCCATAGCGCGCCAGCCTAGGGCTCGAGCTCCCGCCGTGATCCAGGTCCAGGAGGACGTTCCCGGGGACGAGATCGCCGTGGACGCCTCCATTGGCGTGGAGGAAGGCGAGGCCTCTCGCGATTCCCAGCAGGATCTCCTTCTTGGCGCTCCATTCCAGGGTCGGGTGCTCCAATCCAGGGTTCTTGAGGATTTCGTCTAGCGATCGGCTGCCGCTGGTGCTGCCGTCGTAGATGATGTAGCGCTTCTTGCCGTGGATGCAGTAGCCGAGCAGCGCCACCAGGTTGGAGTGGCTTCCCAGGCGAGCGATGTCGGCCAGCTCGGCCTGGAATTCCCGCGGCGAGCATCCCTGGAGCTGGACGACCGATATTCTCCGGGTGTTCTTGGCGGATTCGATCTCGGAGAAGGGGAAGCGCTTGGGAAGACCTGAGATCGTCTCCAAGAAGGCCTCCTCGTCCGAGTGGTGATTCACCTCGCCCTTGTTCTCGTCCCTTCGTCTGGATCGGCGGTAATAGCAGGCGAAGATCAAAGCGGCGATGGCCAAGAGCACAGCCAGCACGAGGATGGAGATTTGCAGGGCTCTCGAGGTATGGTGCGATCGGCCTCTCTTGGCGATCCGGATGAATCCCAGGTTGTGCGGGTTGGAGCTGGGCAGCATGCTTCGGATGGAACCCGTGTGGAAGCAGACGCTGGAATCGTTCCGGAAGAAGAAGGCCTTGCACGAGCAATTCCCGAGGCACAAGGCGCGGCATTCCTCCAGGGTCACTGTGGATACACCAAATGCCGCGACGACAAATCGGATCGCGAAGTAGTCCACGCCCTGGATCATCAGGAAATCATCCTCTGACGAGTTCTTGGACCGAGTCTCCATGCAAGAATTGGCATCCGCGGCATCACTCCGGCATCCTTTCGCGGCGTCTCGCGAATCCACAGGCAGGAAGGCGATGGTGGAGTTTCCATCTGCAGTTACCCCGACCGGGCATTTGCAGCTCTTGTTTTGGAGCTCGGAAGAGCAGATGCCATAGCTTCCGCAAGAATCCGGGAACTCACAGGGATCTCGGAGAGCAGCATAGTCTTCCACCATCCGGCCGCCCTGCCAGTAGTAGACGCGGAGGTTTCCATCGGGATCCAGGCGAGCTCGCCGGGTGAAATTCGTGGACGCCCTGTTCAAGCTCGAGAATGGCACGAAGTGGACGCGAGTTTGCTCGCTCTGGTAGAGGCCGATGTAGCCCTCGGGCTGGATTCGCATGTAGATGGTGGATCCGGTGCCATTGTCGTGCTCTTTGAGCGCGGCCTCGGTCCAGTATGGCTCGGAGCCTGCCAGGAGGAGTATCCGATCTCCCTGGAGCTGGAGCGAGTAGGATCCGGAGCGTGGATCTTGGTTGGAGATGGAGGAGACGAGCCGCATGGCCTGGGTGAAGTTCTGGCCCTGGAGCAGCGTGTCTGTTGGGTGATCGAAGCTCTGCCACACCACGCCAGCTTGATCATCGCTTGGAGGACTAGACGACGACGATCGAGAAACGAGTCTCAAGTTCCCGGAATCCAAGAGCTCGAGAAAGTCTCCGCTCGAGGAGGAAGAGGGACTAGTGGTGGATGACGAGGAATTCCACTGGACGTTTTGGTGGATGGTGACAAGGAGGGAGCCGGAGAAGAGGAGCTCCGGGGTAGCACGGAAGGGATCGTCTCTGTTGGCCATCCAGATGGTGTCGAGCGGCTGCGAATTGGCATTCATCCCAGCGACGGCGAGCGCGAAGTATCCTGTTGCTGGATCTCGCGAGAAGCCAGCGGCGAAGTCCCTGTTGGAGCTGACGAGGAAGGCCGAGAAATCTCCAGCGCCTGCTGGTGGGCTGAAGCGAAATCCTCTGGGGACCGAGCCGACGCTCTGCGCGGCGGGGGAATGGAGGTGGAGGAAGAAGATGAGGCCGCCATAACAGAGCTTGGCGAGGCTCTCCATGCTGTGCTTTGAAAGCGCTAGCGGCGAGAGGAGAGGACGAGGACAAATAAAGATCTCGAGGGAACTTACGAGCGATTACATCAGGAGCCAGCAATGATCCATCATCCGTGCGTGACCTACGGGCGAGCCCAACCATAGGCCGCTCGGGGCTACCAAAGTCAGCCATTGGCAATTTCGTGTCAACTCCATAGCGGGCTTCTTTGTCCTTCTTTCCGGCTGTATTAATGTTGAGATGCGCCACCCAACAGGCGCGAGAAAAGAAAAAAAAAGGCTGCTTCTTGGGCGTTGACTTTTGCTGCCCCGGACGGGACGGGGTCAAATGTCAACGCACCAATCGCGAAAAGAAAAACAGTAACAAAACAAAACGGGGGCGCCGTTTGACTCGTGGCAATTGGATTTTAAAAGACCAACCCCGCCATATGTGGAAATGGTAAAACCCGCTGACCACGTGGCATTTGACACTTTTTAGGGTTTTGTGAAGGATTTGGGGGTTGGACAGCTGGCTTTAGGGTTTGCGGATCATGGCTGTAGAGAGCGCTTCCACCGACGGTGCGGGGCTTCTTCGTGTGGAGCCTCGCGAGTTGCAGTTCCCGTGTGAGTGGATCTAGCGGAATTTCGCTTGTGTTCTGGATCTGAATCTTTCTTTTTTGGCGGCTGCGATGAACAGTCGAGTTGGATCGGCAATTGTCGTGCAAGCTTAAGCTGGGGAATGACACCAAGCATTATGTTGCTTTCAAGGTATCAAGCTTCTTCGTTTGATCTAGAATCTCTTGTTTGCTGTTAGTTTTTGTTTGATCGAGAGTGTCTTGTTTCTTGTTAGTGCTTGTTTGATCGAGAATTTCTTGCTTGTTGTTATAGTTAATGTTTGACCGAGGATTTCTTGTTTGTTGTTGCAGGTTAAAACAACATCTCCCAAGAGTTTTTGTGTAAGTCCCAGCACGGGTGTGCTCCAACCACGGAGCGCTCTTGAAATTAGTGGTAATCCTCTGCCTGTATAAAAATCTTGGCTCTTTCCATAAGAGAAACTTGTTGCAGTTACTATGCGAGCACAACATCGAAAACCGGTGGACGGGCAGAGCAAAGACAAGTTTTTGATCCAAAGTGTTGTTGCTCCGGATGAATTCCTGGCGAGTGACATCAACCAGGAAATGGTAAGTCGTGGCGATTTTTCTCTTCGCAGCTTTGATGGCGATGCAGTTCACAAAAGACCTGGGGAACGAGATCTTCGAGACCAAGATGAGGGTGTCATTCGCGTTCCCTGCGAAAGAAACGAGCAATGGAGCTCCGCCGAATTCTCATGACGTAAGTGTTTATCAGCTTCTCACTTTTTTTTACGTTCTTCCGCCGTTCTTCCAGGCTGGTTATCTGAAGGAGAAAATCCAAGAGGTTTGAGCTGTCATTCCTTATTTTCCTCGTTGTCCTAGCTCACTTTATTTGCAGGTAAATGCGGCTTTGACAACCGTTTCGGAAGAACGAAACGCCGCTGTTGCATTGAGCCAACGCTTGCAGCAAGAACTGGTAACACATGAAACTTGCGTTGCTTGCAGCGACTGTAGCTTTGTTTCTTCAGGAAAGTTTGACAGCAAACAGGAACCGATCGGCCGCACAGAACGCTGGATTCTCCGTCCTGGTAGTCCTCCTGGTCGCTCTCCTTGGCATTGTGCTTGGATTCCTGCTTGGCACATAGCAGTAGTATCTCTTTCGGACTTGGTATGCACTCCAAAAAGCAGGCTGCGTGTTATATAATCGACTCTACAAATTCTTTTCACCGCGTTCCCAGATGTTTCTACATCCTGTGTTCTCTAGTGTGTGTGAGAGAGAGGTCACGCAAGCCGGCCAAGCACGAGCGCCGCTGCTAGAACCCACGCAAGCTGGAAGCCCCGAAGCGAGGCGGGGGCGGTGGCGGAGGAGTCCGCCGGTGGTGATGGTGGCGGTGGTGGCGGAGCAAACTTATCAAAGTTGGGAAAGTTTAAGTCGTCGCCGTCGTCACTTCCATCCTGGGGAGAAGGCGCAGCCTTTGGCGTGGCTGGCAGTCCCTGGCCAAAGCTAACCTGGATCGCGAATCTCATTCCCGAGTCTCGGCAGTGGGAGCCATCGTCGGCGGAGCAAAAGAAGTACGTAGTGCCGGTGGTGGTGAGCATCACGGTACTGGAGCCGCTCGAGGACCAGATCTTGAGCGTCTCGTCGTCGGCAGTGGCGTCGCACGACTGGTAAGTCGTCAGATTGTTGGTCTGGACGACAGTGTGGCTGGGATCATATCGAAACACTGCCGAGAAGAAAAGAGAACTTTTCTTTTAGTGCTCGCTAGCTAGCTTGAGAGAGGCTTACCCAGTGAATCTCCGAGCGAGGCTGTCAAGCTGGAAGCCCAGGCGGTGTAATTCACGATGGTGTTGCTCGCCGTTGGGATGGTCCAGCCAGTGTCGCCCCCGACAATGTAGGTGGTGTAAGCTCCCACGAGCTGGGACGCGATTTGGATCCACAGTGGCACAAGCAGCAGCAGCAGCGGCGACGAGTTCCTCATCTCTTGGAGATTGGAACTTGGAAACCGGTGGCCCTGCTCGCCGCTTGATCGCTTTGCTCTGCCTGTTGGTCCGTAGAGATGAATCTACTCCTGCTCGCCACGACGGTGATAGTTGTGAAAGTGTCGCTTTTAAATTGGCTCCGACGTCACGTATGACAGGCCACGTCCTTCTCGCGGGTCCACTCTCGCTTTCAGCTGGAGGAGCTTTATACTTCATGTTGCGCGGTAGTGTTTTCCGTTTCTTCCATGTTCTTCCCTCTCGGTCGATTTGTCTCTAGGCTTTTGTCGTGAAACGCGGCTGGCTGGTTCTTATTGCACAAAGCGCCGAGGGAGTTACTATCCTCCAGCCGAGCTCGCGGATCCTGGCTCTCGTTCCAGAATGTCCGCCTCGTTCTTCCAGTCGAATTCTCTAGCAGCCCGATCCACGACGGTCGTCGCGATTGCCAGTGATGAGGTGCAAGCCGGCGATGGAGCGTTCCTTACGTTGAGAACTCGACCAGCTTTGCCGCTCTCGAACAGAAAGTCGCTGATGATTTTCCCTGTGTCGTCGATGGCGACGGCGTGGACTCCTGCCCAGCCTTTGGTCGTGTGTTCTACTTTCAGACTCGGGCAGTACCTGCGGCGACAACAGTTCGTGAACTATTCATTATTGACGATTCTGATACCTCTGTGCCTCCCCGACGAATGCTTTAATGTTGACGTCTCGCCAGATCTCTTGGAAAACGATCTTGGGATTGCCAAGAACAAGCTTCCACAGGCCCTTGGTAGCAGCAAACGTGAGCGCGTCCTTGATGTTCAAGTTCCAAAATGCATAGCCTTCTTTCGAAAGTGCTAGAGCCGAGTTTGGGCCTATGAGCACCCGTCCATCAACACGAGGTGTCAAATGCACGCCAACCATGGGGAACCTGTTCGCTGCTCGAGATCAATTCTCTAGAAACAAAACACAAAATACTTACTTCGGATCGGGTACCGGATAGATATTGCGCTTGACGAGCTTCCGGTACTCGGGCTTTAGCTCATGATAATTCCCACGAAATGGAAGAACAGTCGGTCCCTTCGCACCACCGGCCAAGCGTGCTACGTAGTCAGAATGGAGCCCGGCACAAGTGATGAGCCACTTTGCCTTCACAGTCTCATTCCTCTGACTTGTAAGTTCCACACCTCGGTTCTCATCGGCATCGATCTTCTTCACTTCAAAACTACGCCCAAGATCGAGCTAGTGTCACGAAACTAGGCAAAAGAAAGAAAGAAAGAAAGAAAGAAATGGTGGCGACTTACTTGGTGTGAATTTCACCCCTCCCACTGTGAAGAAAGTCTCGAGCATACGATCGTCCCACAGCAGCATAGTCCACAATGCCAGTGTTGGGCGAATGAAGAGCTTGGAGGCAGCGAACGTTGGGTTCCAGCTCTTGTACCTGGTGTCCATCAAGCAACTCTATGCCTTGTACCTTATTGGCAGTAGCTCGCTCGTACAAATTCTTTAGAATGGGGAGCTCCTCCTCGGCAGTGGCAACGATCAGCTTGCCCACCCTCTCATACGGCAGCTTGTTCGATTCGCAGTACTCGTACATACGGCGAGCTCCATCTACGCACAGCTTCGCCATCGCGCTGCCGGGCTCGTAGTAGATCCCGGCATGAATCACTCCACTGTACACTGCAAGCTCAATCAAAACCCAGGAAAGAGAAATATTTCGATCGATTGATCGATCACCTGTTGTGCGACGTCTGGTGAGGGACTAGATCCTTCTCCTTCTCCACCACTGTGACGCTCGCCCAGGGAAATCGCGAGACGATCTCTCGCGCTGTAGCTAGCCCTACAATCCCCCCGCCAACGATCGCGACATCGGATTCCTTGCCGGAGAGAGCGCTCATCCATCGCGGCTGGCGTGGATTGAAGCGATTCCTCGCCGATCTGGGCAAGATCCGAGCTGCCGCCATCGATCCCTCGCCACTCCCACGAAGACCCACGAGAAAACACCAAGAAACAAAATTGGGACGCCAGTTGGCACGCATTTATTTGCTCGGCAAGGTAAAGGTTTTATTCCGGATTATCACTACTACAAGTTTAGTACTAGTCTCATGCTTTAGTATGTGGATCCATTATATCCAACATTGCTTCCCTGGATCATCGAGAAAACGACCAGATCAAAGAGTGTTTGCTCCAAAAATCACGAGAATTTCCAGAAGAGAAGCTCGAGAAGTGACAAAAGATGATAAAAATCTCACCTTGACATCGTAGAACTTGATGTAGAACCTGGAAGGCGGCACCGAGAGCCTGGACTCGAGGATCCCAGCAAGAGCTTTGCTGACTTTGCGATTCGAGTCGGGTGCGATCGCTCCGATGGAGACGAGCTCGCCATACGCCGCCGCTTCTCGGCTGCCCCCAAAGAGGATTGGAACTCGATCATTCAAAAGCACCATCATGCTCTAGAAGTTTGAGCGACAAAGAGTTAGACAAGGAAATCTGGGAGCAACGATCCATGATCAGAGCTTACACTCTCGGGCTTGCCAAGAACTCGGGCCACCGCGGCTGTGGCCTCCTGGAGAATGTAGAATGAGGTGCTGCTATCCACGCTTGTGTTGGTGCTAATGGTGAGAATCGGCATGATTTCTTTCCCCTCGCGAGTGTTGCAAAGGCAGAGAAAGAAAGGTCTTCTCGAGCTCGAGAAGGAACTAGCAAGCAGCAATGCGAAGAAAAGAATGCCTTTGATCTCACAATGTCACGAAGAGGCCTTTTTATTCGGCTCCTGGAGCCACTGTAGTAGTCTCTCGCCTTTGTACCGCCAAAAGCTGAAAGATATTCGGAAGCTTTCCAGGCATATCCGTGGGGACCAAAGTACCAATACCTGTACTCGCGATGCCACACTGCGCGTCGCGAGCAAATGCGACCCAATCCATTCGATTAATGAGTCCAACCAGCACCTGAGGCAAATGGAACCCTAAACTATTGTGAAACCCTAAAATCTAGCGGTTTCCACGTCAGCAATGCATTGGGTTCGAATCTCTCTAGAGAAAAATTCGCTTGTCCCACGCGTGGAAAATTCATAATGGTATGAAAACAAAGAGACATTAAAGAGGAGATGCCTGCGTCAAAACAAAGACGCAGTTGGCTAAAACGTGAGAAGAAAAGAGGGGAAAAGAATGTGCGCCGGGGAAGGGATTCGAACCGGCCACCGCTTGGCCGCATAGACGTTATATTTAAATCCGGTTCTCATGTCCGTAGAAGCTCTCTTCTTCTTGGCCTAACGAAGGCGGGATACTTTCTTGACGCCGCCGCGCCCGGGAGGCGATCGATCGCGCGCTCTCTCCTCCACGATATTTCCTAGCTGCGCTGATTGATCGATCAATCGACCGCCTGGATCCGCTGCCGTGCGTAAGACGCAGGGAAGTGGCAGTGCGCACAATGCCTTCGTGGCGTTCTTCCTCCTCCTCGGCGCTCGTTGTGCTTCTATCCGCGCTGCTGTTCCTTGCCTCCCAGGATCGCGCGGAGGCGGTCCAGTTCGTGGTAGGGGGCAGCGCTGGCTGGACCTTGCCCTCGTTCGGCCATGTCAATTACACACAGTGGACGCTCGGCAACAGATACCATCTCGGCGACACTCTCGGTAAGATTCCTCTCCTCCGTCCTCCAAAATCTCTCGATCTCTCATTCCTCTGCTCGATCGGCTTCCCTCTTCTCGCTATGCCATTGCTTTGATCGAACAATGACCGATCCGGGGCTTTGATCTCTCGCAGTGTTCAACTACTCCAAGGATTTCCACAACGTGCTGGCGGTGAGCAAGGCGGATTTCATCGCTTGCAGCACCGCCAATCCGATCGCCACATTCCAGGACGGGCACACCATCATCAATCTGGACACCACGGGCCCGCATTTCTATGTTTGTGGAGTGCCGGGCCACTGCGGCCAGGGCCAGAAGCTCCTGGTGGTGGTACGGAAGCCGCGGGTCGGGCGCCACCATGGCCCATCCCCGTCGCCGCTACCGGGCGCCCTCCCCGCCGTACGGAACCCGGGCAATGGACCGGCCGAGGGGCCTATGAGCGCCGCCAGCGCCGTACCGTGGACGTGGGCCACGGCCGTACTCGCGGTCGCGGCGGTGCTGGCGTTATGAGGGGCGCCGCATTTCCGGTTCTTGGCGGGATTTTTTGTTCTCTTTTGCTGCCACCACCCCCACGGCCGTTCTAATTTAAAGCTCTATCCTTTTCTTTGCTCGTTGCGTTGCGTAGGGTGGAAGCGAATTGACTGGGGGGATCTATGGAAAATCTCTGTGGCTTTAATGAGTGTTGTGTGTGTTTGGTGTGAAACAAAATCTTGTTGTGTTAGTTCGAGGAGGTGGCCTTTAAAAAGTCTCGCCCTGCCAGACTTTAAGGTGTGAAAATCACGGCAAAAGCTTTTCTTGTGATTGTGATTTTGAGGGAGTTGCTTGCGGTGGTGCTATGACGCTAAGTTCCACTGATCGTGGTGGCGGTGGTGGCAATTCTAGACTCTCGATTGCCTTCCACCGGCCATTTCATCATAGCTAAGTTTATTTCATCCATGTAAAATGTGAAAATAGCGTAAACACGAGACGAAAATTAAGTTACCTCGCTCTTTCAGAGTTTTTGTCAACGCGAAAACACAAAACCCGACTTTTGATCGCTCAGAGATATTATTTCTTGCTCGCGCCCTACAAACAAAGCAACAACAAGATCTGTGTTTCAAGTGAATCCACCAAATTAAACTTAGACAAAGCCTTACTTCGCCAAAACATTTCGCTCCGTTGTCACAAGATCCTGAAAATGCCCTTGAGCTTCATTATGAGTTTCCACTCCTCGCTAGAAAGCTCAGTCTGCAACACAAAATAGCCGTAAACACAACAAGGATTCGCTGGGAACATGAATCCTACCCGGTAGTTCTCTTTCAAAACGTCGATTGATCTTCGTGTGATGTGGCTCACCAGCAAATCGTCGTAGTCAAAATGCCTTCCAAACATCTTCTGGTTCTCGTCACCCATAATCTGTGACACGACAACACTATGAGCAAACGAAAGAGAGTAAAACCTGAGCTTGCCTTCATGGCCACCTCCTCGCCTTTCTTCGCAACGTCGACCACCTTGTGATTGATTTCCAGCGACGCGATTCTTCCCAGATCAATAAACTCGCCGTCTTTACTGGGAACACAAATGGGCGTTCCAACCTGCGTGAAAGACAAGCACACCGATTATCTCACATAAGATGGAGAAAGAAAGGTACCTTTGCGAAGCCATCAAGAACCACCACTCCGACAATGATTGGATCTTTTTTGTTGAAGACACAGTTGGGTAAGATCTTGAGGATGCACGGAAATATGGCTTCCTCCGCTGTATCCCTTCTTTTCTCCTCTCTTGTGTTCTTGAGATAGGCCGTGAACTGGTCGAACAAGTGATAGATGATGTCCGCCGTGAAGATCTTCACACCCAGCTCCTCGGCCAGCTCTCTTGCTTCCGGTGTCACCTTAACGTCGAAAGCAAGTATTGTAGCGTATTCTTTCTTCCTCTCGAGCATCACACTTGCACGCATGATGTCTTTCTTGTGAACCGGACCGATACTGATGCCACTCACAGGAATGTTGACGTCGGGAGTTTTGAGGAACTCGAGCAAGGCTTCCAAGGATCCCAGTGTCGAGGCCTGAACGCAAACTCCCTCCCCGCTCTTGTCAATACGGCCCATAACGCTCTTCATGTCCTTCATCGCCTCCTCTTTGATGGTCTCCACGTCCTCGTCTTCTCCCACAACATAGAGTTGTGTTCCTGCTATCGCGTGCTCGAGACCCTGAGGAAAGCATTAGCAAAAGAACAGTCGTAATGAGGAAATACTAGAACAAACCTGCGCCGTGATTTTTATTCCTTGGGCTGCTTTAAGCTCTTTGTGATGCTGATATGATCCCTGAAAGAAACAAGATAAGATCCTCTACTCAGTCGAGCTAAACCAACCTTCACGCGGAGCTCTTTCATAGGATGAGGAGTTAACAGCGCCCTGATAGTTGTCACAATTGGTCCCTGCAACCGAACGTCGTAAAGCTTTTAACCGAAATGAAAGCACTCGACTACGTACTTGCATCCCGCAGACCACGATCTGATCGCCTTCGTGCAACACGCCGTTTACCAACACGACGTCGATAGTCGTCCCAAGTCCTTCTACAACCTTAACTTCCAGCACCGTGCATTCGACCTCGCTTACATACATAAGCTTCTTTTCCATCATCTCTTGTGTCAGCAGGACTAGCAAGTACAGGAGATCAGGTATGCCCTCGCCACTAAACGAAAACTTGAGAATTCTAGAGGAAAAAAATGAAAGAAAAATCAGCAAGCATGCCTTATCGCGCTTGTGGGAATTATGCTGACGGCCTTTCTCTTGTCTTTGTTCTTCCAGTAGAGCTCAGAGTTAAGAGACTGTTCTTGGAGCTGCACCATTATCTGCAACAAGCAAATACCGCTTGATAAGGAAACTGCTACTAAGGAATGACACTTCCATGTCACCTGCTTGGTTCTCGTCTCAAATTCTGATTTCGTATGGCGCTCCTGCTCTTGCAGAGTAGTTCTTATCGGAGCATTGTTCCGGGGCTTCCATTGGTAGAGACGATCAACCTGCACTAGAGCATAAACAAGAGGTAAGGTACACACAAAACACAGGAGTACGCACCTTGTTTAGAGCAACAATGAACGGTGTCTTTCTCATCCTTAGCAAGTTTATGGACTCGATCGTTTGAGGCTCCAGCCCATGCATAATGTCGATCACCAAGATTGCAATATCGCACAGTCCGGAACCTCGAGAACGCAAATTTGTAAAGGACTCGTGACCAGGCGTATCTATAACCAGGAGGCCAGGAACGCGCATGTTGGCCGCTTCTGGTAACTCTTTGGTTCTCTCCCGTATGTTTTCCATCGGAAAATAAGTAGCTCCAATCTGCTGCGTAATTCCACCCGCTTCTCCTTCTTGGACGTTAGTCCTACGAATGCAGTCGAGCAGCTTGGTCTTGCCGGTATCAACGTGTCCGAGGATACAGCAGATGGGAGATCGCAAATCGTCAGCGCTGCGCTTTGTGAGAGCTTCCGCCATCCTGGCTTCCCTTGAAATCGCTGGCTGCTTTGGTGGCTGTGGGGATGGTACTTCCTCAACCTTCGGAGCAACCTTCACGGGTTTTTCTGGAACAACCTGTTCCTCTTCCTCCTCGTCCTCGTCTGCAAATGCATCCTTCACGGTTGGAAGTTTGGATTCGTCGTCCCAACTCTTAGCTTCCCAGTCATCATCCTCGTCTTCTTCTTCTTCCTCTTCTTCTGCTTCTTCTTCCAGCTGGCCCCCTCCTTCAGGTTCATTCTCAACTTCAGGCTCGTTCTCTTGCGCCTCAGTAGCCGTTTCACTTTGGACCTCGGCAGCCGCTTCACTTTCTTCAACGTCCGGTTTCACATCTTCCGAGCTTACTACTTCCACTTTCTTCTTCTTCGTCTCGTACTTCGGCTTCCTGGGAGTTGGCGACTGCTCTTCACCAACAAGCGCGGGACTACTTGCTAAAATCTGCTCCTTTATCATGGCCAGACGACGAGCTTCCATCTTCTGTTTTCCAGTGAGATAAAGTCCCTTGGCTTTCTTTTCCTTGATTTTCTCCTTCTCACGTTGCTTTCTTCGCTGCTTCGCTTCTTCTCTTAACCTCTCTTCCTCCTCGAGTCTCAGCCTTTCTTCCTCCTCTTTCCGCAACCTCTCTTCTTCCTCACGCTTCCGGCGCTCTTCTTCCTCCTTGATTTTTGCAAGTCGCTCTTGCATTTCCCGAATATGCTTCGGGACCTTCTTGTCGACCACCTTTGGCTTCGCCTCTTGAGTTTCCGAAGGACCTTTCTTCTTTTTCTTTTTACTACTGCCAGTGGCTTCCGTCGTCTCTTCTCCTTTGGTATTATCCACAGCATCCACCTTCTCTCC